CTGCGGTGGTCCCACAGAACAAATTCCCTCATACAGCTAACTTTGGCGTCACTGAGAAATATAATGTTAGTTGCTTTTTCTAGGGCAATGACCCGTATAATTTGTCTGGTGTTTCAGTTAAATTGATTGTTTCCTGTGTAAACTGATTGTTTATCTTCTCTTATATGCCAAATAAATGTCAATAAATCAGTATCAGAGTATGTTTTACATCAATTTCCCTGTCTTTTCTCACTTTGTAAGATCAGATAAAACAGTTTAAAATGTTTGATGACTCATCCTGCCCTCAGGGGGGTTACAAAAGTTCATCAAATCTATAGAGACTTTGGGCGACTAGTTGGCAACACCAGTCATATAAAACTGCACAGAGCAATATGGAGAGCTCTGAAAAGATATGTTAGTTTGGATATCAGTAGGCAAAACCTTTGTTTTCATTTCCAATCATTTTTATTTCCAGTCTCCAGATTGTGGAGGAAGTTTAATTTATTCTTCTCTACTTCGTCCTCATCCTGATCTAACAGTGAGGGAGGTGTGTGTGGAGCCAACAGTCCAGTCAGCAGCTGACTTTGCTGTAGCTCTGTATCGTGCTAAATTCTAAGCCCAACTACTTTTTAGTGGTCCAATCAAATGTGACAGACTTAAATGAAATCCCTTTTGTTACTGTATACCACTCAAATATTCCACTTCACTGGGAAATATGTTATAGAACAGAAGCTGAAGACCCTCTAACTTGAAATGTGACTATGAAATTAATGGTGACTCTCAGTTTAATGTGTCGCTGTTGCGACTTTTATTTGGCACAGTCAATAAGTTTGTCATCAATTAGATGATTTACAGCATCCACAACCTTTGCTGCTCTCACGCAGCTGCAAACACTGCAACTTCCCACCGCAGTAATGGTGGCGCCACAAGATGGTGGAACACACAAAGCTGTCGCCAGATTTATGTAAAGACAGACCAAGCAAATCAGCAAAAAATTAGTATAGTGTTCATACTTTACTTCGGCTGTTGTATCCTGTTACCTAATGTCTTTCTTGGCTTAGTAGGAAGTTTGTAGCTACTGTAAGAAGGCCAGTGGTGGCTGTTGCTCCAGAAACGTCACAAAACACAGTCTGGTCCTCTTTTGACTCTCCAGCAACAACCAAGTTCAAAGCAGATGCATGAAGGTGGTGCGAGGCATCGTCCACATGTTGGCCCTATGAAAACATGCCTCTTTACAACAATACTGTCTGATGCTTTCAGTGCATTTGTGCCTTGCTTTTGCTTTGTAGGATTTTATAGAGAAATCTTAAGTTGGCTCTGATTTAAAGGACAAAGAACTCATCAGTAGCTAAACCTCCGCTAGACGAGGTTTAAACAAAGGAAGGGAAGGGGAAGAAGAAGCCTTAGTAACATGGGAGCTGACATACATAAGCATCTCAATGGCTTTAAGTAGCTAAAATCAACTTTTGTCCATTGTTGGGATTCTGAATGTACATCCCTACATATAAAAAAATATGTTGTCGAAGGTTTAATCCAAAGTTCGATGCAAAAGAAAGAGGTGTGTACTGTATATTTTTAGGCATGTAGCTGACACAGGTGGAGGTTCAGTATGGCGTTTGAAGACACTTTTGACAGGAAACAGGAATAACCTGTGTCACCTGGAGCAAAATCTAAACATTTGACCACTGCAAATTACCACTCCCACAAAAACTCCTGTCCCAATCCCAGAAAAATGGCTCCTGTCCCATCCCTTTTCATGTTTCGTTTGGGGTTTATTGCAATGATTTTAATTTTATGTTCTCACCATCTTTTTCTTAGATGACTTCAGGTTCTACTGCACAGTTTCATTCATATTAAAACTGCATATTTATTTATAAAAACAGACCTATTGTTATTACGATTCCCATCCCACCCACTCCCGTTGGCTTTTTTTTTCTTGTCCCGTCCCAGTCACATGATGAATAGTGAAACTGACTCCCATCCTAGAGGATTCCCAAAAACTGTTTCCTTCTATCTGCAAATGATAAACTTAGCAAAGGACTTGGTGGATGAAAGATTTTACACTACGCACTGCATGGGAATAGATGTTTATCTCTTGCATCATTCGCCCAATGCCCAATGATGATCTTCAAAGTGTTTGGGACCATTACCACAAGCTGGTTTAATCGAAGAGGACTCCCACTGTGATCAAGGAAGGAAATTAACTTTTTTGTCCTCCTGCCAGTGACAGATAAATCTGAATATCAGTAGCGGCTTGCAATTTCAGTGAGGCCTTTAGAGTGTGATGCAACCATCTCCTTAAGATGAGTGAGCACTGGCTTGTAGTTAGAGATGTTCTGATACAAATTCGTTCTTACTGATACCGATTCCAATGAACTTGCATATCGGCCAATATGAGTACTGGTCTGGTGTCTCTGTGGTTTACAAAAAACAAGACAGCTTTATACTACCAACCCATTTCCATGTCAAGAAGCCAAATAAAATGTGTTAAAAATGGAAAAATGGGGTGCATCCCAGGGCACTTTGCTGGGGGTCTTTGCCTTCTTTCCCCTCTTTCATATCTTTTTTACTATGACAATAAAGTGGAGGCCAATTAAAGTAAGTTTCTAGACCACATGCATAGACTCACGTACTTGCCGATACCCAATCCAGCAGTAGGCAGTATCAGAGATACTGGTATCAGAACAACTCTACCTGCGGCTGGTATTAATTTCACACTCCTAGAGAATTATAATCCCTTAAAATAAAATAAACCATGATAAAAAATTACAAGTCTATGGTTCCACTGTATGCCATGTGCTAGGAGTTTCTCCCCTAAAAGTTATTTTTGCATTCAAAGACACATTTCATGCAAATGATACAATTTTTTTTCCAAACAAAGAAACACACATTTCTTTTATATGTTCATTTAAAAAAAGAAGCTTATTTTCTTTTTATGTATATATTTATATATATCGTATATAAATTAGTTGTTTTTTTTTCTTCTACACTTTTCCAGGGCAGGCACCGTACACACACCGGGTACAGAGGCATGCCACACTTGCATTGCTTTTTGCATTCTACAGTTGGTTGGCTGGCAGGCATGATGTCATCCAGACAGTGCTGCAGCTGGTGAGTGTATCTGCACCAACTCTGAACACACACACACACACACGCACATTTTCTCTCTCTCGCTGCCTGTGTCTTCTGCATACAACCATACATCAGCCTTGCAACCTGACACTGGCCTGTCCCAGCACGTCACACTGCCTAGATGACATCAGAGTAAGGGGGCGGGGTCTAGGGTTGGTCCAACAAGCTTCAAATGGAATAATAAAAGCAGTGCAGCAAGGCTCTGTGGCGCATGCAGAGATGGGTGGGGGAAATGGGTGTGGCCTGGGACAGGGAGGGTCAAAGGTCAGTGGAGGGTTCAGATGGAGGGTGTGGGGTCTAGCCCAGGGTTGCAGACAGATTCGTGAATGGGAGGTTTGGGAAGGGGGAGGGTGGCAAGGCAAGGAGGGTCATTGCTAACTTCATGACGATTACATTTGTATTCAATTTTTTTCTGTCTTTTTTTCCATCTTATGTGATTTTTTTTTGTTGTGTTTTTCTTTATATTTTACTTTTTACAAATGGTGTGATGACGTAACTTAGGCTCAGAGTTGTGGATGGTTGAATCTACTGCTGGTTGTATGGTCAGAGGATGGAGATGGAGATGGAGATGCAGAGAGGTGTTATGGGAGAAACTTTTTTGTTCGCTACATGAGTTTTCAACTGTATACACAATATAAACACATGGGGGAGGGGGAATACTAATGCCAATATATTGGTTTAAATAATTATTTGCTGTTTGTGCTCAGTTATGTACTGTAGGTTTGCAAGTATTGCTAGTAGTCATGTCTTACCCAAGTTGATCCCCAATAACCTGGATTAAGTATGTGGAGTGTGGTCTACTTTTAGCTACTTGTAGTTGTCGTAGTTTTGACAGTAAAATTTGCATATTACAATGTGGTAATATGTGTTTAAAGTTATAAAATTATTAGTCAAATATATTCAAAGTGTTAGAATGTACCTTTCAATCAGTAAACATTTTATAAGTACACATAGAAAGTAGTAATGTTTACTTAGATAACACTTGACTCGTAGCAAGAAAGGTGCGCGTCTGTTCACGCAAAATAAAAAATTCATCATACACTGTTGAGGCCTAATGTCTAACCATGGCCTCATCAAGCACACACACACACACACACACACACACACACACCCCCACACACACACAGTCATATACTCTCACATACGCACATACACACACACACACACGCACAAGCTCTGACATGCAGCTATATTGTATCATGGGATCTGTCAGCGAGAAACTTCTGCCCTCCTGTCACCCTCAACCAATCAGAGGCCCTCTGAGAAAAGCTGTGATTAATAAAACAATAGAAAGGAAGCAGAGAGATCCAATCAAATAATTAGTGAGGACAGTGAAGAGGAGGAGGGGTTGTGAGGAAGATGCACTGTGTTGAGTCAGGATGATACACAGTGCATATTCCGGTAACCATTCTGTCATCCTTCTCTCTCACTACGGGGGTCAGTAACACACTCTCACTGTGCTTCAATATGGTGTCTTGAGAGACTGGCTAAAAGCCAAATGACTTGGTTTGTGTGTGCACGACCACACTGTCCACAACGTGCACACAAAATGTAACATTGAAGAGCTTTTATAAAAGAGAGTGTGTACCACAAGCTTTCTTATGTGTTTTACTCTCAGTACCCGCCCCTCCCAACCCATCCACTGCTCTGTCCACCCCCAATGACTCAGAATGCAAATGTCTCATTGCACTCTCCTGAGTCTAACCCGTCTGTTGAATTTTGCTGTGGGGAAATTAGGAGACGTGGGAGGGAGGGGAGGGCTTGAGGTAATGGGGGAGGGGTAAAAAGGGCATTGTGGAGTAGTAATGAAGGGGAGTATTGATCAAAGTCACATGATCTCTAAACCAAAGGGGCAGGGGAGGGTGCCTAGTTGGGGTGCCAGTTGGATGTCTTCTATAAAAGCCAATATCTTTTTTCTCCCACAGTGAAAGGGGAGGGGTAAAGGTACAAAAAATAGCTTAATAAAATAGAGGAAAAGAAATAAAACTCTTATTTAAAATGTAAAAGTATAATACAAAAACAACAGCAACAAAAGCATAATAGTAATGAAAACGTTAGTGACTTTAAAGATGAAATAGTAGAAGTGTTAAGTAGTACTCGAAGTTATCTCTAATGACACAAAATAAATAAAAGCTGTCAAAGGAGAGGATGCGGTCGGGGCTCTCGGGTGAAGGAGGGTCGTTGCTCTCTCTCTCTCTCTCTCTCTCTGTCCCTCTCTTTCTCCATCTCCCCCTCTCCATCTCTCCCTCTCCCTGTCACCTCTCACTCCTCACGGAGCTGCAAGCGGTAGCGGCTGTAGCGGATCTGGAAGAAGAGCCTCTCCAGCGGCGAGCGGGTCATCCCGGGGAGCCTGTAGTCCTCGCTCTGGCCTGTTCGGCGGAAGCCCAGCGACTCGTACAGCTTGTGGGCAGCCAACTTGACAGCCGTCGTGCCGAGGACCACAGCAGCGTAGTTGTTGCGCACGGCAAACTCCAGAACACGACGACCCAGTGCCTTCGCGATGCCTTTGCCGCGGTAGCGCGAGTCCACTGACATGCGATGAAGCTCCACCGTGTTGTCATCCTCATGGCCTTGTGCCGCCACGATCCCCACCACACGTCCGTCAAGCACTGCGACCCAGAAACAGGAGCCTGACAGAAACAAGATACAATAAGTTTGATTAATTGACTTGGTTTGATTGAGCAGATCACTGCAAAGGCTGGAGTTAAAGATAAACACCCAAAGGCATAGTTCAACATTTTGGGGAATATTGCCGAGAGTTAGATGAGAGGATTACTCTCATGTTTGTGCAGTAATTTCAAAGCTGGAGCCAGCAGCTAGTTAGATTAGCTTAGCATTAAGACTTGAAACAAGGAGAAACAGCTAGTCAAGTTCTCCAACAGTGACAAAATCAGTTGCTTCTTTTACTCTCTTACTTAAGCTGTCTCTCTTTTAAACTTGGTGCCAACTAATTTGTATTGATGTTCAAGTGGTGCTTGGACGGAGTCAGATGGTATTTTGTGGTAGCCTGTCATTGCATTGCACTGGCAAAGGAGCTAAAATTGGTGTGTTCACCTGGATGATGCATTGCAATCACTGCTGATTTGAGTTAGAGCCGACAAATACCTGTAACTACTGCAGAGTCATTAGCCCCTGGAATGAATGCCGATTATAACCTTTCCCATTACATCAAAAAACCAAATGTTAGCTGGTGTTTATATGTCAAGTAGGAAAGGGGCCTTAATGAGCTTTAGAGGTGTTGGTTGATGGATTCATGACAGTCAAGCCAAGACTGTTTCCTGTCTTTATGCTAAGCTAAGCTAAGATGGTTGTAGCCACATACTTGGCATACAGACATGAGCATGGTGTTAATCTTCTCATTCTACCGGCAAGAAGGTGAATAGGCATATTTACCAAAATGTTAAACTGTTCCTTTGAGATATAAAGGTAAGGAACAGGGCCTAAGGCCTTTAAGCATGCTGTTTAGTAGTTCAATCGCTGTACTGTCCTTTTATAAATCAGTTAAAACAAAGAGTTAATGGAGACCCTCACAGTCAGCTGCACCAATATACTGTGAAGTTTAAGACCACATTTGGGGAAATTGGAAATGTTGAATCCAAGTATGTTTCTGTAGTAAAACATTTGCTACTAGGGAGAAATTCACGCCCTTATATAATGGAACACAAATCACTGAGGGCTTATTTAACCAAACATGCATCATTTTGGGTGAATGGATGAAAGGAACAAATGGAAAGACAACGGTGGTCGAATGAGAACACCCTGTGTTTCCATTAGCAGCATGTTGAATCATGTTGTAATGAATGCTCTGAGAGGAGAGAGAATAGGAGAAGGGATGCAGGGAGTCGATGAATGAGGAGGGCAGAGACTGTTGGACCAGTGCTTAATGGCACTGGCCACTCTGTGCTGAATGAAAGGCATTACACATTGGTCACTAAGGGATCACAGTGTATTGGAGCAGACAGACAAATTTTGGGGGATTAGATAAAGAAATATGGCTTTGTTTTCACTGTTTAATACAAACCTCATATTTTGACGTTAAAGCCACATAGACAGGGAAAAAACATTTTTTACAGCAGCTCATACTGTAGAGGTATTTGCTGTATCACAGAGTTGATTTATCAGCCAGACAGATAAACAGACTAACACATATACAGACAAACAAGGTTAGACCAATACAAATAAAAATGTCAGCAGACAATGCTCCTCCACCACAATATCACTGAGAGCTTTAATATCTTCCCATTTTAATGTTGATCGATATTCATTCTGCAGTTTTTAAGATGTTGACATTGAATGATTGTGCTGTGAATTATTTTTCTTTTTGCTTTTGAAAGAGTTTAGGTTTTCCCTTGTCAGCTGATTAATCTGCCTATCATTTTCTCAATTTATCAAATACTTGTTTGGTCTAGAAAATGTCAGAAAATCATAAGAAAAAGTTGATCAGTGTTTCCTGAAGCCCAAGACGATGTCTTTAAAGGTCTTGTTTTGTCCACAACCCAAAAATATTCAGTTTACCATAATAGAGAAATATCGAAACCAGATCGGAAGCTGTGTAGACCATTAATAAAACAGAATGCAATGATCTGCACGTCCTTTTTTGACCTATATTCAATTGAATACAGCACAAAGACAAGATATTCAATACTCAAACTGATAAACTCTATTGTTTTTTGTAAATATATGTACACACATTCTGAATTTGAACCAAAAGAGTTGGGACAGGAGCATGTTTACCACTGTCTTACATCACCTTTTTCTTTACAAGCAGTCAGTAAGCGTTTGGGGACTGAGGACACCAATTGGTGAAATCTTGAAAGTGAAATTTTCTCTCAAGATTCACCGGCAGGACCCCGAAATCCTTGAACTTTAAAGACTGTCTGTGTGGAAAATGGGCCAAACTCTCGTCTAAACACTGAGAGATCAGCGTCTTCATACAGGAAGTGTCTTGAAGCTGGCATTGCAAACACAAGCCTCTTCAAGTATGAAAGAAATTTCAGTTAGCTGCATTGGAAATAAGTTAAAAAGACTTGTTGAGTACTTATTTCTACACTATGCCGAGAAGGATATGCAAGTGATTGCGTTCTGCTTTTATGTATGTTTTAAACAGTGCCCCAACTTTTTGGGAATCAGGGTTGTAGCTGTCAACTGATCATTATATGTTGCAGCTCTACGGCCGTGTCACTAGCTGCAGATGTCTTTAGCCTAAATGTCTGCATTTGTTTTAACTTCAGAGGTAGACAGTTTACACACATTTGGAATCCCTCCGTTATTTATGGTCACCAACCAACATGTTTCTTTTGAAATAATTCCCCTTTGAATCTCAATCAGGTAGTTTATAAAACAAACGTAGGGCTTAGGAGCGTGCCCCTGCTTAATTTCCTTTACTGATCATAATCTTTCAAGGAAAATGACCCTCTCGACCTCCTGTTTTTTTATTACGTAACCATGTTCAAACCGCCTCTCCATCAATGTCAGCAGTATTTATGGCATGTGTTGGCAGTGGTTACACGGTTTTGTACTAAAATGCCATCTGTTTGTTATAGATAAAGTAAATCTGACTATTCCGTGACTGGCAGCGGCTGACCGTAAAAATCTGTGTCCGTCTGTCCATGAGCTCTGAATCCTAATTCTCTCTGTGTCCTTACTCTCCTTGCCTTTACACATAACCTCTTCTCTCCTTTATCCCTGTTGTATTTCCCACTCTCACACGGTGTCAAGAACACACACACAAACACATGGTGACATTAACATCATGCTTCTGCTGGAGTCCTGTGTGTTAGGAGGGATTTGATGCCCCTGCAGGCCTGTGTTAAGCTGATCCGCAGGCTTCTGTTACTGAATCAAACAACTGTCATATGTAGGTTGCTGTGGTGACAGGAAAACCCGAGTACCCCCCCACCCTGAAAGCTAGACAGGGGTTTGGCATCCCCGGGAGACTATCTGCAACCAGTGTTTCACTAATGTCTATGGGGAGTTGGAATTTTTGTATTAACTGTGTCATAATGCTCCCAATGACTGGAAACCACACATAAGAGCATCCTGTTCGCCTAGCTGAGACTTTATAGATTCACCCTGTCTGGCCAAATCAAATTCTGCTATCAGGTATGCAGACACTCGTAGGAAAACTTCAGCAATCCAAAATTTTGTCTCGCTCACTGACTCTGAGGAAATGTAGGTCAGATGACAGTGCAGTTTACTGAGTTTTCCATAAGCTCCAGCCAGACAGCCAGACATTTAAACATTCCCGGCCAACTACTTTCTAACTGTATCAAGTCACTGGACGTCCTGAGGCAGCTGAGGAGCATTGGCGAAATTTTAATGTAAAACTGGTTTATTCAGTGTTTTTATCACTTAAATCAGGGGGGTCTGTTTGTTTTGGAGAGGAGGAGATCTCTGCAGATTATTCAGCTCATGGTAAAAACGTAAACAATAATCACTGAAGGAATCTTACCCGAAAAACAAGCCGAGCACCTAAAAAAAGGCTGAGCTTACATTAGCAGCAGCTCTGCTAGCAGCTCCCCCTGACCTCCGGGTACCAGAGTACCCTCATACAACAGTTTGTATAATATCTTACAATAATGCAACCATAAGGGTTCGTATGATATCTAACGAATCAGCGCCCCACGGCTGACGTTATGTTCTAAAGTTATGTACTTAATTTAAAGTTATGTTGTTTTTGTTTAGAAAAACAAACATGGTGAAAATGTACCTTAAAATAACTCAAAGCTCGCTTGGTTTCACACTGATCCAGACACCGGTCTCCTGGGGGAAAGTCCTGTGTTTGTTTGACCGGTCCACCACCACAACCTAACTCTTAAGAGAGACTCCTTCCTCCTTTACGCCCATTAGCAAACTGGTCATGTGAAGGCAGCCTTTCCAGTAACGTGGGTTATACACAAATTACTGGCTCATGATTACTTGCGATATATACCAATTGTGGTGCATTACTTTTTGTAGGTTTACTTACAAACAGTGCATGAGAACAGCCTGACTGGGTTTCATTACTGGGTCAATTTAAAGGAGGACAAGGAAACATCTGTAGAAAATTTGACTCCTGGTAAAACCCTCCTGAAACTATAAATGCTGAAGGAATCCTGACCTAAAAATAAACCGGCATTGGAGGTTCTTTAACAGTGAAGACAACAACTTTTTTCATTGTGAGTTGAAGCTCCCCAGATTATTGGAAAGTCCTCGTTTTTCTGAACAAAACAAAGTACAGCACTCCGAAGTTCAATGTAAATTTGGTTAACAAAACCTTCTAACCATGAATGCTTTTGATTCAATCGTGAATACTACACAGGAAAATCATCTCTAATTAGCCTAATGTTTGAACATTTCAAGAAACGAAAACACCCTTTATTTTATTGCCAATTCCAGTATGTAAGGGGGATATGACGGTTTCTTCAGTTTCCTCCAACAGCCATGTTCTTACAGTACCTCCCCTCTTGGTCCCCAGATGGCTACTGTTTTCACCCACATGGGCAATTTATGCACTTGCAGAAAACAATGACATTTCTAAAAGTACTTCACCCTTAAAAAAAGGCAATCAATCAGTCATTTCTTGCTGCCATTTGGGAGCCAACAAAGTATGAAGGTAATTATGTGGAGCTTTGATGGATGACTGTTAAAG